GGCCCCGTCCTCCTGACACCCACCCTGCAGGTATTTATAAGCATTTATAATCACGTGTCTCTTGTATGGTCTCTAGCATAAGTGACTTGATGCCTTGTTAGTGTGCCTGCCTGAGGCAGGTGGGATGAGGAGCTGCAGACAGGAGACCCTCAGACATCCCTACCAGAGCAAACCCAAGCTGTGCTGTTCCAAATCACCAGCTTGTTCAGAAAAACGGCCAGACAGTCCGCCCCGGCTGTCTGGCATTTAGCAGAAGAAAGGTGAATCAAATCACGAGAATCATGTGTCTGTAGGGATGCGCAGATCTATCTCCAGATGCACGGGGTGGCATCGCTCTGCTGGAAGCATCGCTTTGTCCCCGCTGAAAGCAGCGGTGGAACTGCTGCAGCAGGGCCAGGAGCCTCTACCTCCAGCAGCTCTCCTATTGCCGAGCTGATCAAAGCTCTGCCTCTTACCATTCACTTGCCTTCATGATCTTTTTTCCTCAGTGCTTTCAACTCGTTTGGTATTTTTATGATTATTGAAGCAGCAAGCAGACAATTTGACTTAGGAATCGCACACAGCAGCAAGTTCCCTTAACCAGAAGCAACGTGGATTCCTCCACGCTAGGGATCATCTCTCCCACACCCGTCCTCCCCACGCCCGAAAGGGACTGACGGCACCCAGACGAGGCACAGACACACGGGCATTGCTTCAGCACAGCCGAAACACCCAGTGCCCATCACCCACCTGCTCGGCTGGGGTTTGAAGTTCCACTAACAGATGCTGTCACCTCCCAGATGTAAAAAGAATCAAGAAGGATCTTTTCTCCAAGACCCCTCAAGTGTTCACGCTGGAAATTGCAGAAGGGCTTTAGCTTCTCATATTTGGAAGGCAAAATAACAGCAACTGAACTGCAGCAAACGACTGACAGAATTGAATATCACATTTCAGGAGCGCGGTTCATCTTCAGCAAGTCTTTCTGAATTAGCAATTCTGTACTCAATCGCACAGCCTCAGCCCTCTAAAATAAAAGCTATGGGCAGCCCGTCTGAACTGCAGGCACCTATTATCTGGGTACTTCACATCCTGGACTCCTCAGATCCTCAGAAGCTGCATTCGCAAATGAAGAATGCTATTTACTTTTTTTTTTTTGTTATTTTGGCCGCGCTACCATAACAAAGGCATTGTAAATCCAATGGAGAGCTGCGTGCCTGATTAAGTCTTCGCACGCCATATTTACTTATCTCTCCCTTCCAGATGCCAGGCAGACAGGAGGACGCGAGGAGTTCAGATCAGCAGGGGGATAAAGAAAAGAGAAACCTCAACAACTGGAGGTATTTGAGGGAAGAAAAAGGAAATAATTTTCAAGCCATCATCACTGCTGAGGAGTGGATTAATAGCAGTGTGAATAAGAGTCCAGGGAATAAATCACACCACCTCCCCCCCCAAACAAGCACCAGCAGCCTGCCCCGCTTGGTCACCAGCGAGGGGCATGGGGACTGCCCGCCCAGCAACACACATGGAAAGGGACTTCTCCCGGTATGGGAAGGCAAGGCTAAAGCAACAGGATTTGACCTCATGGAAACAACTATGGCTGCCTGAGGGAGAACACTGCCTCTCTGCCATTTCAGTCTACGCACGAGCAGAGATGCATGTCGGGCACTAAGCCCCTGCTGCAGGGACACCCCGGGATGTCACCTCCCATACAAGCCTTGGCTGAACCCTTCAACCATGCTCTGGGACCCCAAAGTGAGACCTCGCACCACACTGAAGGCAGCATCGGGCCAAATGGGGGGAAACCCAAGGGAAGAAGGGTGCTAGGTAGCAGCTGCCTGCTCAGGCTGCTGTGAGCCCATGGTCCCTTCAGCTTTTGAAAGCTGAATCCTGCTCCCCTGGAAGAAGATAAGGCTTGAATTCTCCACTGTAGTACTGCCCTGTGTCACCAGCTCTGCTATGCCCTTACTCACAGTCTACAGGTACAGTTGAAACCAGATTAAAACCCTGTTTTACTTTCCAACTGCAAGCCCTTTGCAGCCTGTTTCAAACCGGGTTTCTAAACGAACGCGCCTGGGTGAGAGACGGGTTGCACTACGTCTATGCTTTAAAGACTGCTGTGTTTAGACACAGCTTCAGGCTACAGATTTTCATGAAAATACGACTTCATCCTTCATACAACTCCTCTCTCGATTGCAAGGAAAGCACAGATGATTGTACGGCAGTTCCACCTCTCTCATTCCCCTTTGGTAAGCAGCGAGTTACAACCTCCAGGCTCCCAGCTATCACCACCGGCCTCTGAATCAGCACCCACCGCAACTCAAGCAACGGCTTCTATCAGAGACATCACTCCAGGCTCTTGGCAAACGCCAGCTAACGCTCATTACTGGCACAGCAACACCAGCCCTAACTGCCCAGTACACCAGCACACTCAGGTGCCAGTTTTGCTGCACAACTGATCCCAAACACCTCGCTGAATTCCCCACACCAGACAACTGCAAAGAAGAGATCCTTGCAGCATGAGGTGGCAGAGTAAGTCAAGCAGGGAAAGATGCCTGCTGAAACCACGGCACCATAAAGGCTGGAAAACAAGGGCCATTAGAAGAGAGAAGGGAGGCTGGAGGACAAAGATAGCTTCACACAAGAAGGGGTACTCCTGTCTCCCGCCTCCCTCAGCTACCAACTCACAGGCTGCTTTGAAATTGGCCATTTGAAATTTGCCATTTGCCTTGATCTTCCACCTCTTTCCTCCTGCCAAGAGTCATCTTAAACGTATACTTGGGACAGCTTCTGTGTGCTACAAAACATCTAGCAGGGCTGGACTGAATTTTAGAGGAGTTCATTTCAGTAATGCAATAACTCCTCGTCCTGTCATATCTCATATTAGTCAATGAGCATTAATTCAGTCTCCACTGAGCATCATTAATGAATTTTGCAAGCCTTACAGACAGAACTTGTATTACCTGAAAATATTGTACTGCTACAGAGCAAGAGGACAAAACAGAATAAGCTGTGCCATGTTTTTATATGCTTCTTGATTTCTTCTTCCTTTAAGATAATCTATTAATAAGCCTGAAGGACACACAAATATAAGTATTTCTGTCTGTTGTTTATTTGCCAGTCAGTTCCACAATGGTTTCCAATTAGGCAGAGATTGTCAGACCATAATGCAAGAACACCCGGGAACACGGGGTGGCACGAGAACACCCACACTGTACAACCGGAGCCATGAAACAGACATGTAAATCAGGAGCAGCAAGAGTAACTAACTGGAAATGTTGCCCAGCAGAAAAATTAGCATTTCATACTTATAACGCAAGTGCCAATAAACAAAGGGACACATCAGCTATTTATTTACTCCCTGACAGTCCAATCATGTGGCACAGTCCCAAACGACTGCGAGACAATAGGAAACCGTTCATTTTTCAAGCGAGGGCGGCACGTCACATGGCATTTCAGCCACTAACAACTCACATGGTCCTTTTATTTAGGGCTTAGCCGCAATTTTACTCCCATGAATCAGGAACGACTTCACTGAAGTCAGACTTACTCCAGGGAAGAGCAGATTCAAAGCCAGAGAATTACAGAAACCGAGTCCCCATCAGGAGGGCTCTCCAACCCTGACAGCGGGGTTTGGACCCGCAGGTCAGCTCACGGGGTCACCCACCATCCCTGTGGACCACGGAGCAGCAGAGATGCAGAGGTTGTTCAAAGGTAGCGCTCGCAAGCCTTCCACAACCAAAAGGCACATCTTGTGCACGGCAAGCAGCCGCACGCCCGAGGCAGAGGGCTTCACAGCACCATTTCGCAGAGCCTGCCCCTTCGCTGGGGGGGCTTCAAGGCGCTGTGCAGCAGCTGACCACCCGACCAATGCATTTCCAGCTGAGCTGCAGCGCTCCGGTACTTCGCTGACTCACGCTCCACCAGGTACAAGACAAACAGTTCAACTTGTACAGAAGTCTGACTCTGCTGTCTAACCCCTCTCCCTGTGCTCCTCCCACAGCGGCACGCACCCCTCTCCCAATGCCCTGCACGATCCCTGCAAGGAGCACAATCACCAGCTCAGCAGAAACTGCCCGGCCATCACCGCATCTGCACAGAGGACTTCTCGCTGGCAGAGGTCCCTCCTCCATAAGCTCGCCAGTTCAAAGGCAAGATAAGGGACAACGTATCGGACACTAGTGCTCGCTGGGGTTCCCATCCTACTTCTGTTTGTGATGGTCGTGTGTTGGTCTGCTGCCTCTAAACTTGAAGAGCAGCACTTTGCCCTTCATGGGCACCAATTTAACTCTTCCACCCCAAAAACGAACACCAATTAATACTAATAAATCACATTTTAAAGGCACCAGTGCACTTTGCAAAGCCTTCCTCAGTGAGATTAAGCTCTTGTGTCACTTGGGTAGTTTGGAGAACTGCCCTAGGCCAACATAATTTTTACCCTAAATATTAATGATGTTCAATAATTTCTCAGTCCCTCCAAAGGAACAGATTATTTCACAAGCATGGGGAGCTAGGGACCACAGGGCATTTCCTCTTTAGATTTCCATATCCATGCTGTTTAAGGATAGGACAAAGTGTTCAACTAAACCTATGCAGCAAATGGAAGATGAGAAAACAGCTGTGCCCAAAGAGACCTTGCACCTCCAGCCCAGTGCAGAAACATCAGCTGGCTCAGAGCTACCCCCGAACCTTGCCTCTCCAGCAAAGCCATGCCAAGAACAGTGCCAGGAGGCAGCAGGATGCTGACAGCAGCAGTCAGCCTGCCTGCCTCTGCTTCCCTGCAACACTTCCTCCCTTCCATGCCACCTACCAAATCTTTCTGCATTAAAAAGCCTCCAGATCACAGCACTGAGGATCAGACTTGCCACGGCACTGATGTTCAAACTTCTAAGCAAGAGCATTGCATGGCTGGCATGGAATAGGTGCTGGCTGACAGAGCAGCCACAGTAACACACACAAAAACACAGCCACCCCAGTCCAACCAGCCCCAGGCTCCAGGGTAACATGTCTGCCTGCAGACTGTACCTGTCCTTTCATCCCACACATGTTCTTCCAGGCCCGTGTCCCAAAGTCACCTGCAGCACACCAACCTCCTGCTGAGTTAAGGACATCGGAGCTCAGCGCATCTGTGCCAGGCTGGCTCCCAGCTACAGGCACAGCCCTCCCTCTCCCCAAGGCTCACAGCTGGATCGCAGGCAGGCAGGTGCCCTCAGGGACAGTACAGCTGCAAGGCTTGAAAACACAGGGTATGAAAAGCACCATCTTTGTTCCCAGCCAGGGTGAGGCAGGGAAGTGGCTGCCAGATGGGAAAGAGAAAAGCTCTCCGGATCTATTAATTCCTCTAGTACTTCCCATGATAATTAAACCCCCACCACTGAGGAGAGAGATGGCTAAACTTCTTCATACATCTCCCTGCCTTTTTCCTACTGTTCCACATGCATCTTCCCTCTTGAATGCTCAGGTTCCTCAGGGAAAGCAAGCACAGCCCGTCAGTCCCTGCTGCACCACGCAATGCCAAGACAAGCTTCAGACTGCCTGACCACAGCCTGGAACAGAGCTCACAGCAGGGCCAGTGTGCAAAGAAAAACGACGACTTTAGACATGATGTTCAGCCATCTCAATGCTGCGTCCAACATGATCTACATTAAGGTGACTCCAGCTGTCAAAGGTGGTGGTCCTCACTCTGATAAGGTTCACTTCAGGTCCTCCAAATAACAGGTCTCTTCTGAACAGACCTTTCAGTTTATAATTAGCAGAGCAAACCCATAATTATGCAGCAACGGACAGATACCAGAAACCAACACCTTGAGAGGCCACCCCACAGTAGACTGTCATCCTTGAAGCCATTAAATGTTCCTGCACCGAAGGATAAAAACAGTCTGAAACATGTAATGGCTTCTAGCCTAGGAGAGCATCATCTCGACTGTGGGGAAAGTTTCCCCCAGTTCTAGACCCAGTGCAACCTCACTGAAACCAGGACCGTTGCGCACAACCCACACCAGCTGCCTTGTTCTGAATCCAGCCCTGCAGGTTCAACTTCCCCTGAAGGCACCAACCTCTTGGGACCTCCGGTCTCACCTTGTTCTCCTCCGGGGTGAAACGAATGTGGAAAGCTGAAGACAGGCCAGGTGCTACCTTACGACACACACCATTGTGGCTGATCAACTTGAAATAAGGTGAGCTCTCCAAGACGACTTTCACCAGCCGAGGAACCTGCGGGCAAGACATGAAACTATGATTTTCCCAGTCATATGGAAACATGAAAAGACAAGACCCGGCCATGCCCTGGTCACATCCTTCCTTAAACACCTTTCCAAAGCACTTCTAGCTCTTGAGGTACATGCATGTAATACACAAGGATAGACTTGAATCTCTTCTGCCCAGGCAAAAGAGCTCAAGACAAGAAGCATGCTGTGAAGGAATCACCAAGCATGTAAGACACCAGCAGGACGCAGATACAATACCTGAATCAAGTCATCCCCATATTCCACAAGCCCAAAGAACCTGCCTGCACACCTCCATGCAGTCATGCCTCTAGGAGAAGAATGTATTGCCTGCAGGCAAAACAGTATTTGTTATACCGGGGCAAGGAAGAAATTCCCTTCTGACATACTGGGTTGCAGTGTGGCAGTCAAGCTGTGGTGCTACAGAGTCATGCGGGCAGCCCACTACGAGAAGGAGACCGCAGACACTGTGGCCTTACAGGGAATAAAAGCAAACCTGAAGAGCAAAAGGAAGAGCATAGGAAGACAAAGAGACAACCCCAGAAGCAAGGGGATGGCTGAGAGAATTTAAAGGGGGCTGTAAAGAAGCAAGTGAGAAGACCGACACCCCACAAGGAAAGGCTGAGGCAGAAGATGAGAGCAGCCAACTTGCCAAAACAACAGAAAGCCAGATGACCCCCCAGGCTGTGCCTACCAATTATGGGCTTCAAAGGCATTTCCTGCCTTGAGATACATGACCAGCGCTGACTCACAGCGTGGTTTCGTTATTAAAAACCAATCTCGGCTCTCCGGAGGCTCTTGCTGCCTGGTGACTGTAGCCAGGCAGCTGCCCATGCAGGCAAGGCAGGTTTCTCAGCATCCCTCCCCACAGCCCAGAGTCCTGCAGGCACCTCACTGCAAGTTCTTACCCTTTGGGATACCACAAGCATGGAGACAGCAAACAGGCATTCTCTAGCACACAGATATCAACCCCTGAGCACCAAATCTCATCTCAGAGTCTAAAACAGGTGATCTGGACTGCCAGGCAGCTTCACTGATCAACAACCAACACACACAAACTTGGGAAAAATGGAGGTTCATTCTGTACCACCCACCCGAGCCTGATGACCCATGGCCAAGGCAGTCCGGAGCTCTCCAAACGCCCTGCCTCCCGGCAACGCCCTGAAGCAGCAAGTTCCAGAAGCCACTGTCACACTGCAGACAAACGTTTTGGTCACCAGGTCCCTTGGTGCACAAGCACACGTGGCTGAGACCTTCAGCAAAAGCCACCCAGAACATCTCTGAAGGTGGTGAGAAGCAGCATGAAGACAGAAAAGCAATATGACACCACACAGCTAAGAGCAGTGAGGACCTAGCGAAGCACTGCTGTATCTGAATGATTCCAGAGCCTCCATTTGGAATATACTTTGCTGTCAGCTGGATTTTTACTGAGCAGACAACCTCAGGCTACCGTGCGGTTGTAAGTGCGTATGATTCTGAGGAACCTGGGAAACTGGTGAGAAAACTTTGAGATGGACCACAATGTTGCTTTTCTCCAGGATGTCAACAAAAGCCAACAAAATTAGAATGCAACAACCTCCCCTGGGATTATCATCTCTGTCTCTGTGTACTTAAATATGCCAAGGATTTTCCTTCGAGCAGATCTTTTACACCAGCGCTGTCCAACAGTTAAGGTCTTACTAACTGCCAAGCCAATTCATTTTGGGGGAAAAACAAAAAATCAACAGTTCACACACAGCCTCTCCCTTGTAGGGCATGCCAATCCCAAAGTGCAGCTGTACAAGTTCATTATTTTTTACTGGGATTAGCAGAAATCTTGATGCAGATGTTCTTTTCCACTTGAGGAAGCATGAATAGAGCTAATGAACTGTTTGCCTGTTGGCTGGTACTTGGCAGAGACAAACATTTTGAAGTGCCACATGGATAACGGAGTAGCTGAAGCCAAAAGACATAGTGGGAACAAAGCACAGTCATAGGAGAAGAGAAACTGAGGCAGATTTTAATCAGGAAAGAGGATACCTAAAGAAAAGGCGGCCCAGAATCAGCGTGGACCACATGAATGACATGGCATCCACGCAGCATCTTTCCAATATTCCCAAGCCAAATGCGAGACCAGGAATGGCGCAGTACCCTCCCGGAGTAACCGAGGGACCACGCCTGCACCAAAGTTCTTCCATTTCCAGCCGTGTCCCTGTCAAAACGTGTTATCTCGGGATGTACTTTGACTTCTCTTTCTGTTCCTCCATCTGCAATGAGCTTTTTCGTTTTGTCCACCTGTTTGGTTCCCCCAACAGGCAGATATGGAGAGGGGGTTAATTCACCTGTTCTCATGCACACCTCCACCTTCCCACCCTGCCCTCTTACAGAAGAGTATCTTTAATTACACCTTTCTTTTCCTGACCTTCCTCTACTTCCAGTACACGTACTGTTACGTATCAAGGGAAACCCTTGCATGCAAGAAAGGGCTCTGGGAGAGAACATCAAACCCGGCTCCTTTCCTCCCTCCCACCTTTTCCCACCAGCTTGCTCTTGGCACATGCCTCATTCGAGCAAACGTTTCCCCTGCTGAAATTTGAAAGGTCTCCCTTTTCCTCCTTACAGTGGAACAAGACTGCTGACATTTTTCTACTTTTCCCTTCTCAGCTTTCTTCGGAAGTCTCAAAATAATCACAAAATTTTTTAAGTAAAGGTGGAGACCTTCAAGCACACATTACTCTGGATGTGCTGGGGCTCTCCAAAGGGAAAGCAGAGAGCCACTATGTTTTAGAGAAACCTGAGCAGAACTGAATTCATCTGAGCCTAAACCGGCACCTAAAAGCCTCCCTTTGCTTCTGCTAAATCAGTCTGTTTCCACTGCTGGTTCAAAAGACCTTTCCTGGAGGGCTTACACTGCTAATTATAACTTCATTCCAGCACGAAGTGGAGAAGACCCAAGCCCTGTGCTTTGACCGCGAGCTGCACAGACAAAAAAAGCAGGCAACAAGAGGCAGAGGTGTCCTGCCAGAAACCAAGAATAAGCAAGCAGCCACCGGAACGGGCTGCACGCTCTTGAGATGAAGCATGAGAGTAGCTAACAGCACAGCCCTCAACATTCCCATCAATCCAGGGCTTTCAAGGGGAAGGATACTCACTGCAAAAGATTCTTTGGGTTAGATACTGCCAACGCACGGCCACAATCAGGGGAGAATCCCCAGCATGGGAAGAGTCCACACCATTGCAGCCCTGAGGAGAAGTACTTGGGGGTACTGGTGGATGAGAAGCTCACAACATGAGCTGGCAATGTGTGCTTGCAGCCCAGAAAGCCAACCGTATCCTGGGCTGCATCAAGAGAAGCATGGCGAGGGAGGGGATTCTGCCCCTTTACTCCACTCTCATGAGACCCCCCTGGAGTCCCGAGTCCAGCTCTGGAGCCCCCAACATAAGCAGGACATGGATGTGTCGGAGCAGGTGCAGAGGAGGGCCACGAAGATGGTCAGAGGGCTGGAGTACCTCTCCTACGAGGACAGGCTGAAGGAGTTGGGGCTGTTCAGCCTGGAGAAGAAAAGGCTCTGGGGTGACCTTAGAGCAGCTGCCAGTACCTGGAAGGGGCCTACAGGAAGGATCAGGAAGGATGGAGAGGGGCTTTTCACAAGGGTGTGTAGTGATAGGACAAGGGGGAACGGCTTTAAGCTAAAAGAGGGCAGATTTAGATTAGATATTAGGAAGAAATTCTTCCCCATGAGGGTGGTGAGGCCCTGGCCCACATTGCCCAGAGAAGCTGTGGCTGCACCTTCCCTGGCAGTGTTCAAGGCCAGGTTGGATAGAGCTCTGAGCAACCTGGGCTGGTGGAAGGGGTCCCTGCTCATGGCAGGAGGATGGAAGCAGATGATCTTTAAGGTCCCTTCCAACCCTTACCATTCTATCATTCTATGATTCTATGATTTTGCAAAATAAATGTGACGAGACATTCCATTCCGGGTGCGCTGTGCTGCAGCAGGTAACGTGCTGTGCTGTACACCACGTGAATTACACTGTTCTCCTCTTCCAGTACAGTGGTAAACCTCCGCATCACAGCGCTTACCTTGTCCTTGTTCCTCAGAATCAGTGGCACCTCATAGACCTCGTAGGGGACGTAGCTCTGAAACACCACCTCTGATGGGCAAGGCTGAAACAAGCTCTTATCCAGGTCAATCGCTGAGAACTGGAGATACAAGACAGACAGCAGTGAGAGACTCAGCTGCTGGGGAGAGATTCATGAACAAGGATCCTACACTGATGCCCACTGAAGTAAAGTCTCTCGGTCAGTACATC